ACTACATCAACAACACAGTCTACTAAAAACGATTAAGCTCAATCTCAGCCATTCTTTTCTTGACACAACATCTATCAGCGCATTTTCTCTTTCCTACTGTTTTATAATTTTAAAAAATTTATTGTGTGTGACTTTTGAAAAAGTTTTGAATGTTAGGCGTATTGGGAATATTTGTATTTGATTGGTGTGTGAGTTTTGGCCGCTGGAAAAATATTTGGATTTGGTTGGCTGAAAAAATTGTCAGGAATGAATGGGGACTAAGCAATAAATGATGATGATTGCATAGAAATGCAGAGTTCGACTAATACTGAGATTCCAGCGTATCTTTCCTTTCCTAGTGTAACACGGGGAACGCCGCAAGATACTATAGAGTTGATAGACTTCGTGGCGGAATCGCAAGTATCTAGGGAAAGATCTAGATTTGATGAATTGCCTGACGGATATGGATAACAGACACATTTTTTCTAAGAATTTCGGATACAAACTTTGGATAAATTTTGACAAATGGTCTTTCTCTTGATAACAATCAGAAATAATTCAAATCTTCCTTATTAGACGGCAGTAGGTATACCTGTTAAAGCTAATATTTAAACTCAATCAACGGTCTTAAAATGACCTGAGGTTTTAGTTGGTAGATTCTACTCGGACGGAATCCACTTTACTCAGTCGTAAGAATGGCTGGGTGTCTTTTTATTGTAAGATTTCTCTTCTTCTCCAAAAACAAAATAAACGTTGGTTTACTTAGTATAATGCAAAAAGTCGTCAGTCCTAAGACTTTTATACACGCACTTCCAGTCTTGACTATACTGAGTTAATGTTCAAATTTCCTTAAATGTAGAACATCCCACATTTTTAACTTTTTGTGAATAGCAATGTATTTTAGATCTACCTCTACTCCTTTTTAACTCTCCTGTTTCGATTTCTAATATGTCTAACTAACTTTTCATGACTACCAGCCTATTCCGCCTATTTATTCGTTCATTTCTGACCTTCTCTCTACACGCTATCCTCATTATTTACCTGTGACAACCACACTTCGAACGATTCTAAACTTTTCTTGTCCGCCGCAATAGTCTTTCGAATTTCTAAATTAAGTCATTTCTTTTTATTAAAGGCGACTCGATGATGCGCTATTTTTTGTTTTATATTTCTACTGCTCCTTCCAACCTGAATTATCTGACTTCCTAGATACCAAAAATCAACGATTTCTATATTGTCGTCTCCTATGTTTATATTCACTCGTCTTCTTCCTAGTGAAATTACCCAATTCATTTAAATGATTCATGGAGTGCCTAAAAGAATTCTATTTTGAAATAAACTAATTAAGTATCTTTCTGCTGTAGAATGGTACAAAAACGAAGTAATTTGTGAAAGCGCTCGACCTTCCATTCGTCTAGTACATTTTGTCAGAAAACGAGTAAACAGTTGTTGGGTTCTATCATAAAACGTTCGTACACAAGGAAGCCATTCTGTATTCATCAATGCTTTTGCTAATTGGACAATTGTCGATTAATGTGTTTGAGTGAATCTCAATAGCAGACATGACTCTATTGAAAAATCGTACGTAAAAATTATTTATTGATGATAGAGAAGTATGTTCAATTCTTGCACTGATTGGTTTTATTTGTGTTCACGTATCTATAACATTACACGATGCGTGATTTAGAAAGCAGAGAATTCAATGGGTAATTGTAAANGCATTTTTTTAACAATATTTTAACTGGTGTTAAAAATCTGCTCTTATTTGATTCTTGGGTGTAATATACAAGCACAAAGTCATTTTGATATAGTACATAGATAATATTGCAATTGTAATTAGATTTTACATTCCTGACTGTATAAAAACCACTCATGATTCAATTATTACTTGTATAATGACTTTTTTAATCTATATTTTCAAAACTTTTGCATCCAAATAGATTATTAAAACATTAAATAAATGTAAATTAGTATCGGCTTGGTTTCTGGAAGAAAACTACAGTGTATTTAAATTCTTGTAAAAAGTATAAAAGATTTTAAGAATGTGCTGTGCTATTCCGAAACTTTTAAAAGTAATTGTGTACCACCACAAGTTTCCCGCCAAAAACTGGCTTTTATTTTAAGTTGGAGAGGAGGTTCTTTACCTCCTGTTTGACTGTGTACAGGACTTATTTATAAATCATACTCAGGATTATTGTTAATTTTATATTTATTGTATAAAAAGTNTCTAGTCAGAGACATATTAGAGGCAGAAACAGGAGTTAGGAGGGGTAGAGGTAGACCTAGATTAGATTACTGTTCGCAAATAGTTAAGGATATGGGTTGTTCTAGTTTTAGGGAAATGCTAAGATTAAGTCAGGATACGGAAGGGTGGAGGTGCGTGTCCAACCAGTGTTAGGACTACACGAATAAAACCCCTTTTTTTTTCATTTCGCCTTATGGTTATAGATGGGAAGGTTGTCCAGCTTTCTGAAATTTAATACAGACTGTGATTGCAACCAGCAGTAAAATGTGCAAAATTGTTATAAGTTACAAGGGAATCAAATGCATCGTTTAAACATGTCCCTTAAACTAAAATCGTTAGGCAACTAACAGTTTTATGATTAAATATTTTAAATTTAACAAATACACGAAGAAAACTAAATTTTTATGACAACGTAAAAATTACAATTTTCCAATGTAAATGTCTGAATTTGCTATATAAATAGTAGAGTTTATTAGGTTATTTGTAATAATTTGAATTTTGACTTGTTTCTTTGAGAATTATTTCAAGTTTCTTAATTATTACAATTAAATTTATAATATCAACTAAAATACCTACTAAATTATGTATTTCTGCTGGGATTTCATTTTTAAAAATTCGGGTCCAAATTGTAATTTTTATTATTTCCGCTTACGAAGCAGTGGGGCTAGTGGGAATAAATTGTAAATATCGCTTTAATATTTAGGTAAATTTTCGTTTTTCATTTTCTCTGTGTATGGTCTGCCGAATATTAATTCTTTTCTTGACACAACATCTATCAGCGCATTTTCTCTTTCCTACTGTTTTATAATTTTAAAAAATTTATTGTGTGTGACTTTTGAAAAAGTTTTGAATGTTAGGCGTATTGGGAATATTTGTATTTGATTGGTGTGTGAGTTTTGGCCGCTGGAAAAATATTTGGATTTGGTTGGCTGAAAAAATTGTCAGGAATGAATGGGGACTAAGCAATAAATGATGATGATTGCATAGAAATGCAGAGTTCGACTAATACTGAGATTCCAGCGTATCTTTCCTTTCCTAGTGTAACACGGGGAACGCCGCAAGATACTATAGAGTTGATAGACTTCGTGGCGGAATCGCAAGTATCTAGGGAAAGATCTAGATTTGATGAATTGCCTGACGGATATGGATAACAGACACATTTTTTCTAAGAATTTCGGATACAAACTTTGGATAAATTTTGACAAATGGTCTTTCTCTTGATAACAATCAGAAATAATTCAAATCTTCCTTATTAGACGGCAGTAGGTATACCTGTTAAAGCTAATATTTAAACTCAATCAACGGTCTTAAAATGACCTGAGGTTTTAGTTGGTAGATTCTACTCGGACGGAATCCACTTTACTCAGTCGTAAGAATGGCTGGGTGTCTTTTTATTGTAAGATTTCTCTTCTTCTCCAAAAACAAAATAAACGTTGGTTTACTTAGTATAATGCAAAAAGTCGTCAGTCCTAAGACTTTTATACACGCACTTCCAGTCTTGACTATACTGAGTTAATGTTCAAATTTCCTTAAATGTAGAACATCCCACATTTTTAACTTTTTGTGAATAGCAATGTATTTTAGATCTACCTCTACTCCTTTTTAACTCTCCTGTTTCGATTTCTAATATGTCTAACTAACTTTTCATGACTACCAGCCTATTCCGCCTATTTATTCGTTCATTTCTGACCTTCTCTCTACACGCTATCCTCATTATTTACCTGTGACAACCACACTTCGAACGATTCTAAACTTTTCTTGTCCGCCGCAATAGTCTTTCGAATTTCTAAATTAAGTCATTTCTTTTTATTAAAGGCGACTCGATGATGCGCTATTTTTTGTTTTATATTTCTACTGCTCCTTCCAACCTGAATTATCTGACTTCCTAGATACCAAAAATCAACGATTTCTATATTGTCGTCTCCTATGTTTATATTCACTCGTCTTCTTCCTAGTGAAATTACCCAATTCATTTAAATGATTCATGGAGTGCCTAAAAGAATTCTATTTTGAAATAAACTAATTAAGTATCTTTCTGCTGTAGAATGGTACAAAAACGAAGTAATTTGTGAAAGCGCTCGACCTTCCATTCGTCTAGTACATTTTGTCAGAAAACGAGTAAACAGTTGTTGGGTTCTATCATAAAACGTTCGTACACAAGGAAGCCATTCTGTATTCATCAATGCTTTTGCTAATTGGACAATTGTCGATTAATGTGTTTGAGTGAATCTCAATAGCAGACATGACTCTATTGAAAAATCGTACGTAAAAATTATTTATTGATGATAGAGAAGTATGTTCAATTCTTGCACTGATTGGTTTTATTTGTGTTCACGTATCTATAACATTACACGATGCGTGATTTAGAAAGCAGAGAATTCAATGGGTAATTGTAAAAAATCCAGTTTGATTCATTGTTTTATGATCTATTTAAAATGTAATTTAGGGCTATGAATTAGTTATTTCCATAAAAATTACAATTGCAAAAATTATAGTTTNTTTGGATGTATTAGGTTTTAAGACAACCATGTCTGGTAGAAATATCCCGGCAGATAAGGTGAGTTTATTTTCGAAACCGCACCCTTGGTGTTTTTGTTAAGCGGTGACATACGGCGACCTACTTCTTTACCCCACATTAGTTTTCTGCTGAACACACAACATTGCGAAGTGTTTATAATTACATTAAATGTCTACTTGCTGGTTTAATGTGCCTGATTTTATTATGACAAAAGAGGCACAGATCTACAAATCCGATGAAAATGTCTTAGGTATCACCAATAATTACACCTTTTGTCTCAGCAATGTTAAATACAGTCACTGCACAGCATTCGCCTTGCTTGTCTACCATACAAAAAGTACTGTAAATAATTTATAGAATTTTTTTAATTATCTCGAATTTTGTCGAGAAAACTTACAATGGAACTTTATCTTCATTATAAATGGAGCACACAACTTTTCCTAGCATTACCTTTTCTTCATTTAAACCTACTGATAAATTTGAGAGTAATACTTCATCTAACTTCACAGCTTGGCCACCTGAAGATGTGTATTTTCCACCACTATAAGGCCCTAACTGCTTGTTATCAATTGACTAGAATAAATGTAGACATTATTAGGAGATCTTAATATTATTATTATTATTATTCATTATCAACTTTAATAATGCGAAGGTTTTTCCAAATGTAAAACTTTATTGAAAACCTAGGTAGGTGGAGGAGTACATTTCCCCCCTGCTTAAGTGAATGAGTGAACCCCACAGTTGTTTTTGACGACATATTTTGAGACGAATTAAAAAATACAAAATTGTATAACTTATTTCTTAAAGGTATGGTTGAAAATGACAATTTCTTTTTGGTAATTTTGTAGACTATCAGTAGTAAATATTAAATACTCATTCATAGTTAAAATAGAGCTACCCTACAACAAAATGTGAAGTTGAACTGAGCATGCTGCAAGTTTATTGTATTGATCATTTATTAAAGCATTAATAATGTGCATTTTAACAAATATATTGCCTAGTAGATACATAAAAAAAATTGGAAAAAGGCAACTCATTTTTTTTTGTAATACCTGAACAATTTGTTTCAATCTTTTAACTTTCATTTTTCCTGACGTCTTTACCATTTCAGAAACGTTATTCAAATATTTAATCAGTTCTTTCTTTTTCTGTTGTGGTGGTTCCCATGTAGGGTCGTAATTGGATGCTAAACTAAATGATTCAAGTGCCTGTAGGAACTCCTCTTCATATTTTAGTGTCTGTAAATAAAAGCTCACATACAAAAATACTTTTTGTNGTCATTTTTATTGTTGTTTTTACAGGTTATGGTTTCTCAAAGGTTATGTTGACAACATTAAAAATGTTTTAGTATTTATTGTTTGACATTTTTAGCGTATGCTTTCAAATCTGTTGTGTTATTTATTGTTTTTCAAATGCCGATAATATATCGCTAGCATATGTTATTAACAAAAAACAAGAATATTAGCACAATAATACAAAACTTTTTCTAGTAGGAAATCTTTATTATCTATAGTTTCGTTATCGTTGTATTTGCGTTTTCATAATAGATGTCACTTTTTCGTAAATTTTAACAGTGAAAATAAACAGTCTTCATTAGTCAGTAGCTGGCGGAGAGGACTGAGGAAGTGTCGTGGTTTCTGCTTTTAGCCTCGTTTGTAGTTTAAGTTGGTTTTAATAACCTGAATAGTTTTAAATACTTGTGGCCAATTCCGTATACAATGAACATTAGGGCGTTGTCGCATAATAGTTTCGGTTTAATATGAACAACCCCGAGAAACCGATTCAGTGCCTACGCGTTCAATAGTATAATGGAATAGTGCTTAGTGTCCTGCTTTAAGCATCTTAAAGTTAGTGCACCGTACCTCATTTTTGGATGTATTAGGTTTTAAGACAACCATGTCTGGTAGAAATATCCCGGCAGATAAGGTGAGTTTATTTTCGAAACCGCACCCTTGGTGTTTTTGTTAAGCGGTGACATACGGCGACCTACTTCTTTACCCCACATTAGTTTTCTGCTGAACACACAACATTGCGAAGTGTTTATAATTACATTAAATGTCTACTTGCTGGTTTAATGTGCCTGATTTTATTATGACAAAAGAGGCACAGATCTACAAATCCGATGAAAATGTCTTAGGTATCTCAGTGTAGAAATAAGAAATTTGTTAATTGTGATTAATTCAGATTTTTAACCTTTAATATGCATATGCCTAATACAGTTAATTGTAACAGTACAGGTACACCGTTTTTTTGCTTAATTTTTGTGGAAACAATAAGTACTATTCTGCAGTTTCTACCTAAACTATCTTCAATGAAGTACCTAACTGGTTTTATTGTATACCTACTCATTTCTTCAAATGTGTAGTATAACACGTACCAACTTAAATGAAACTTGTTCATACTTGTTTAGCGTTTTGCTTAAACTGCAGACAGTTCATATGTGTATACCTATTACGAATTGCACCAATATTAACATTATTAGGTAACATCTACCCATCTACAAGGTTCTGCTTTATCAAAGATAATGATGTGTATTTTAGAATTTGTGAGTGGAGGTGTTTTTGTGGAATGAACATCAAGGTCTATCGATTCATTATAACGATGAGAAATATTACACTTCATCATCTACCTACTGGCTGACCTCTAGTAATAAGATTTTGTTGTAGTTTTAAATAATAAATGAACGATAATTTTAGAAGAGCTTATTTATTTGACTGTCAGTCTTCCGTAATTTTATTCTCCGGAATACCTAAGTACGTATATTCATGGGGTTCTACATGAATTTATGAAATTGCTAGATAGGTAATGTTTTAAAAATATTTTTAAGTAGGCAAGTATCTACCTAATTAACATATCGAAAATACATATTTATGTATCTACTTGTTTATATTGACAAATAATTCTTCCCTTATCATGGTGTTATTATCCCCCTTCAACTAGAGACTGACAATTGCATACTTATGGTAAAACTTTAGAATACCTATTCTATCGAAGTAATTTTCATAATTAATTATGTACTTCACACAAATATGTAGGTAAATGTGACTGATCTTCTAGTACCTATCGTATGCAAATTCTTATCTACCATAAAAATGTTAGCCACTCAAATTCAATACAGTAGTGGCAAATAGAGAACCGAACATGGGGTTATTCTATTACATGTAATCATCAGAAGACGGCGTCATCTTTTAAAAAATCCGAAGTGGTATAGGGTATATATAACTGCGTATCTGTCTTCCTACAAAGTTCTTCAGCAATTTTTTCATAGAAATAAAGTAATATAGGTACCAAAGTGTAATAAAAGCAATTAAGTCAACAAAAGTTGAGGACAGTTTTTAGAGAAGTCTGTTATTTTCACTCAAACACCTTGTGTCTACTAGAAAATTTTTGGTGAACTTGGATTGTGTTAATTCAAAAATAAACAGCTGTAATTA